GGGGGGCCCCTCTGGGCTGGAGCAGCACCTGGCCTGCATTGGGCAGAGGGGCTGTGCCAGCTCCCGCTGTTTAACGGTAACTGGTAAGCACCAGCAGGTCAGGGTGATGCTGACTGATAACTAATCGCAGCTTCAACCAGCCCCTGGAAATAGCACTAAGTCCTCGTGTGGAAGAAGATACATCAGTGTGAAGATGCATATTCCCTTAAAGAAAAGAGAAATCAGACTAGTCATATGGTACATTTACACCAGCCTAGATTAGGGTTGTACCAGTATAAATGAGGGATGTTACCATCAGTTTATTTTGGCAACTGTGTAACCACTGACATTTTCAGCAGTTACTTGTTTACACACAGGAAGGCAGGTGGCTCCAGCGGAGCACAGGTAGCCACCCCCCCGCCCCCGCATCAGAGGCAGCAGCATGCGGGGAAGGCAGGCAGCTCCCTGGGCGCCCGTGCTTGCCAGGAGCCTGCTTAAAAGCCAGCTCCCCCCCTCAGCAGGATGTGGGGCGGGGGGTGGAATTTTCATGCAACCATGAAGGTTAACCAATGAGCCCAGGCTCATCCGTTAACTGTTTCCACGTTTCCACCAACACATCCCTGGTATAAATATCCTGGTAAAAGAAAAATCCGCCCCCCCCGACTCCGCAGTTAAACCAGCCCAACATGGGTAGAGCAGGCCTGGAAAGGGTTATAAGAACCAGACCGGCTGGCTGAATGCCTATCCTATAGGGTTACGTTAAAAGCTGAGAGAGGAGTTTGGGGGCAGATCCCCAAACACTATGAATTCCCAGAAATCCAGCCAAAGCTGCCCTGCCGGATCCCCTGGGCCAATGCCTGACACAACCAGATGGTTGAAAAGTCAGCTGCACAGCTCCTGGAGAGGGACTGACCCCACCTCCTCCTCTAATCTCCCTCCTTCTGTTTCTGTTTCCAGACTCTCACCATGGGCACTGTGGTCTGCACTCGCACGTATGAGAAAGCAACATAGACCCCGGATTGCTGCTCGTCTCTTGGTGCTGAACTCGCAGAATTGCCTCCCCCCCCTTTCTGTATGTGATTCAATATTGCAGCATGAAGCCCGTGCAGGGTGAGCCCGTGACTGTGCTTTCTGTGGTTGGTTTGTTTTTTAATCGTGTAAGAACCCATGTGGGAAATAATAAACCAAAGTCGTTACAGACGGGGCTTTGGCTCGCTCTAGGAAAGACTCGTGTGCCATCTCCACACCAGGACTCATTCGGACTCCTCTGGGCCAGACGGGCAGAGGGCGAGCTCTGCCTAGGTGATGCTGTAGGCTGTGGACCTGCAGAGAGCAACCAAGCCTAGTGGGGACGTCAGAGCAGCGTAATACCCCCTGCAGGCAGAGCCAGGCTGCTTCCAGGCTTGCCCAGCGGCCAGGGCAGAACAAATGGGCTTCCAATCATTCTAGCTTTGTCCTGGGAGGGGAAGGCTGTTTTCTAGCCAGCTCAGAGCAGTACAAGCAGCCCCTGCTGACCTCTCTACTAGTGCTCCCACCAGCGGAAAAACAACAGGCCAGGCCTCACCACCACTCTGCCTGCCTGCCCTCCTCCTCTAATCTCCCTCCTTCTGTTTCTGTTTCCAGACTCTCACCATGGGCACTGTGGTCTGCACTCGCACGTATGAGAAAGCAACATAGACCCCGGATTGCTGCTCGTCTCTTGGTGCTGAACTCGCAGAATTGCCTCCCCCCCCTTTCTGTATGTGATTCAATATTGCAGCATGAAGCCCGTGCAGGGTGAGCCCGTGACTGTGCTTTCTGTGGTTGGTTTGTTTTTTAATCGTGTAAGAACCCATGTGGGAAATAATAAACCAAAGTCGTTACAGACGGGGCTTTGGCTCGCTCTAGGAAAGACTCGTGTGCCATCTCCACACCAGGACTCATTCGGACTCCTCTGGGCCAGACGGGCAGAGGGCGAGCTCTGCCTAGGTGATGCTGTAGGCTGTGGACCTGCAGAGAGCAACCAAGCCTAGTGGGGACGTCAGAGCAGCGTAATACCCCCTGCAGGCAGAGCCAGGCTGCTTCCAGGCTTGCCCAGCGGCCAGGGCAGAACAAATGGGCTTCCAATCATTCTAGCTTTGTCCTGGGAGGGGAAGGCTGTTTTCTAGCCAGCTCAGAGCAGTACAAGCAGCCCCTGCTGACCTCTCTACTAGTGCTCCCACCAGCGGAAAAACAACAGGCCAGGCCTCACCACCACTCTGCCTGACTGACCAATGACTACTGTGAAATCTTGAGCCCCCCCCCACCCCACCAATCTTCATTCAACCCCCCTCCAGTTTGCCAATTAGCTGAGCAGCAGCTGGGTCTTAGGATCACATGCCAGCTGCTAGGCTCAGGGGTCCACAAGGACACAGGGATCCTGCTACTCATGTGGCTACAGCTCCCCAGGTCTCTCCAACTCCATGAGGCACCTTTGCTCCCATGGTGCATTATGCTCCCGCTAGCGCCCGGGCCCCAGGTAGAATCGCGGCTAGGAAAGGAGGAAAACCTTTCCCCGGGGCAGGCGTTGCTTTCACCAGCCCATTCAGGAAGCTGACGCCCACATTTCGACTACTCTGCCCTACCGGGGAAAGCTGGCTCCCGCTGCAGACAGAACAGACACTGCTCCCATTTACTTACTACAGGGCCACTGCGGTTTAATGTTCCGCCTCAATTCCTTACAAGAAAAGCAAACTGACCCTGCTAGTCCAGCCTGCCCATGATTAGTCTGCAGATCCCACAATCCCAGCCTTCAAACTGCCCCTTCCCTCCAACCTCTCAGGACCAACTACAAGAGGCCTTTGTTAGTGGCCACCTGCAGTAGATTGGTATCGGCCATGAAAGCATGAGTCACAGTCTAGACCGGTGATCTCAGGGGTGTCCTATTTATTGCACCAGCAACTCTGCTAGGAGTGGCTGCGAGTATAATTTATATCCACAGTTCATTCCACGGTGCCAAATCCTGGCACCACACATTCCGCAGAGAATGCCACTGCAGCATGACCCTGCACACGTGGGCAGGAAGGAAGCTGGGGAGTCACGGTCAGGAGAAAGGGATGCTCAGCTCGTTGCGTCACACTGAGGTTTGGGAAATGAGTTTTCCATGGCCAGGAAGCCCCATGATGCTTCTGGAGTTTTCAAAGAGCTGGATTTGAATGGAACCAGGCATGCCCTCCAGCCCCAGGCACACCCCCCCTCTCCCCCCCGCAGTACTCCAGGGCCTTACAAGGGGGAAACGTTTGGTCTTCCCTGACTTCGCCACAGAACACGTGGAACAAACTCTCCTGCCAGCCTGCCCTTCCAAGCTAGGGCTGGCGGCTACAGCGCTGTCTAACCTTCTTTCAGTGGCTAGGGGCCTGGCGAGGGATCAAAGTCCCCACCGTCCTCTGCACATTGTGCTCTGAGAGATCGTTCCTGATCCAGAATTTACCAGTGTCAAGCAGGGTTTCCACTCACTTCAGTGGTTTAGCTCCTGCTGGAAGCCCTGTTTTGCATCGGTTCAGTGCATCCACTTTAGAGCAGGCCCCTCCTTGCACTCGGCAGGTTTCCTCTCTCCCAGAGATTGTCTCCCTAGAGAATTAAATAGGTGTCTGTTTTAAATGAGTAAGAATCACTTACGTTCGTGTTGTCTGTGATGTCATTCTCTGAAGGGACGTCAACGTGTAGTCGACCACATAATTAACCGATAATCATAAACTTATCGGTTAATCTTACCGACTACACACACTCCCTGTCCCCTTGCTGCTGTGTATTAGAGGCAAGGGAGGTGTGGGCTCCCCTCACGAACCAGCTCCTGCCTGGCACCCTGCACACTGCTGCTTTTGATAGAGGCAGCAGTGTGGAGGGAGAGGGGGGCGGTGAGAGCCAGTTAAGCCAACTTTTAAGCTGGCTCCCTGCATGCACCAGCTCCCATGGAGCCGCCTCTCCCATGCGTGTAAATGTGTAACCACTGAAAATTTCAGCAGTTGTACATTTACAACCCCTCCCACACAGCCTGTCTGTGGGGAGCCCTGCTGCCTCTGATACAAAGATAGCAGCGTGGGGTGGCAGGGGCTCCCTGGGAGTGGGGCTTGGAGCACACTGGCTGCCAGCCCCACCCCTGGGGATTATCGAATAGTCGTGTAACTGATATTTTGTGCTGTTAGCAATTAATGGAATAGTTGTGTATCTAACATCCCTAATTCTCTGGTGCACGTCACGCAGGTCAAACGAGATGATCCTGGTATTTTCCAATTTGAATCTTAGCTCTTCTGCTGCGGAGAGACTTTTCAGTCAGTCTCTTTTGGTCTGTACACCAGACTAGCCAGAGGGCACAAAGCCACTTGTCTCTTGGCAGGTCACCCTAAAGTTGATCAGTGTGTCTGGCAGCATGCTGAGAAAGCTGCAACATTGCAAGGGAAGGTGGTATTTGAAACTGATTTAATTAAACTGATGCCACCCCCTTATGGAGGCAGCCCGTAGCTCAGTTTAATGGTGGTCTATTGTGGTTTAACTTAAATTGATTAGAAACAAGTTTCAACTAATCTGAAATAATCCACCTTTAAACCAGTGCAGCTTGTGTGTTTAGACAAGGCCTTAGTTTTGCTGCTGGACACAGCTATACTGACAACGCTGAGTTTTTCCTGGCATGTGAGAGCACCCCCCCACAAGCTTTAGCAATAAGTGAGGTTTTGCTAGTATGACTGTGGCCCAACTTGGTCAGGCAAAAATCACCCACAACTGTCAAAGGCAAGCCAAGAGAAGCCTACAGTGTACACACAACCAGAAAAGAAATCAGAACAGTATACAAATGTAATTTCGCATTTGAGGGGTTTATTTTCATAATTTACACAGCTTGCAACAATGGACAAAGTGAACATTTCCCTGGAGTGTCTCCAGAACGTAATGTAGCTATTTTGTCACAACCCCTGCCAATGCTAGCAGGAAGAATGGGCATGACTGGAGGGTTGCCTACCCACAAAGGTTGTGCTGCGTTTGTTATCCTGGAAATACAACCTGCCTACTGGGGAGATGCTTTTGTATGAAGACACCTTATACTGGGACAGCCATTCCTATATGGACAGAGGGATGAGATGCACTGTGTAAGGACCAGAGGCTCCCTCTCTGTGATTTCCCTAGGGATGCTAGAGCCCTGCTTTGCCGCAGGCCCTGCCCCGCCTTCTCCCACCCCTAGCACCCCACTGAACAGCTGATCTCAGTAGGCAGGAGGTGCTGGGAGAGATGGGGGTGCTGATCAGCAGGGCCCCAGAGGCCAGGAGGCAATGGAGGGAGGGTGATGGAGGAGCTGAGCTGCAGGGCTGCCACTGGATGCTGAGCACCCACTATTTTTTTTCTCTAGGTGCTTCAGCCCCAGAGCATCCCTGGAATTGGTACCTCTGGCAAGGACATTTATATGGAATAACTGAGTCCGTATCACTGCATCAGTAAGAAAACTCCTCACCGAGCCACGTAGCAACACTGCACAAAAGCTGGGCACAGAGCAGGACTCGGGTCTGTCTCAGTCAGCAGGGAGGCTGTGCCCATGACTAGACAATCAGCTAATTGGGGCATGAGTGGCTCCTAATGTTTGGCAGGCACCACAGTGGCACAGCTGCCACCCTTTGACTGGCACATGCTATACGGCGGCTGAGCTGCACACTCCTTGCTACTCCAAAGGAACTGGGCAGCAATGGCAGCTCACTCCAAGGGTTGGAGACTCACTGGTGAATGGGTGCAATTAATCTCTCTTGGCAGGCTCCGCCACTGGCCTCTCAGCCGAGAAGAGTGGCAGGCTGGGTAATTCTACAGTGGATCATTAATTTCCAAGTCAACATCGTTAAGCTCAATGACTGAATGCTGCTTTTAGAAGGAAGCTCTTCATCCCTAACAAGGGCGTATCGACGAACCCGCCCCACGCTCCAGGGAGCTTACTCAGGAAGGCTAGAGCAGGCAGGCAGGGAGCTGACAACACCAGTGCTCCTTTCTAGCACCCCTTCTCCTCATTCCTTGTGCTTCTTCTTGTGCTTCTTCTTCTTTTTCCTCTTCGGGGGCTTACTAGCTTTCTCCGAGTGCTTGGCCCTCTTGCTGGCTGGTTGAGCCCCATCACTATCCGAGTCGGAGCTGTCTGAATGGTCAGACTCGGACGACTTCTTGCTCTTGTGTTTCTTTTTCTTCTTCTTTTCCTGTTGGTGAGAAGGATACAAAGCCACTCTGGTTGCCAAGTGCTCACTCGTCTAGCAGCGTGCTGCTTTTCAGTCCAAAAACGGCAAGTCAGTTCTTTACATACAACCTGTTGCTAGCTGGGAAGGAGAACTGGCTGGCCTGACGCATCAAACCATATCAGCAAACTGGGGTGAGACACAGTGGGGGCTGTTTGAGAACACACAAACCCCAACCCTTCAAACTGCAATAATCCCTACTCACAAGCCTGGCCCCACTGAGGTCACAGACTATTCAGATACCTATGACTCACTTGTGTGGTAGTTCACAAGTTCAGGACTTTGCTTTATTAATAAAATAGGTTTCTGCACTAGCTGCTCTAAAACCAATTTCTGTATCTCCCCTCCCCCACTGAAACATTTTAAAGCTGAAGCCCCAGTATCTGGGCAACTGAGCTTTGAGGGCCCCAGAAAACAGCTCTGCTTGCTACCCCACCCTCACTTTTATATACAGAAAACCAGGTGGGCCACTGAGTATTTACAGCCGGGGGTGGGGCTTGAAAAGAAAAAGGTTGAGAACCCAGGGGCTACGTCTACATGGCAGGCTTCTTGTGCAAAACTTTTCGCGAAAAAGCCCCAGTATCTGGGCAACTGAGCTTTGAGGGCCCCAGAAAACAGCTCTGCTTGCTACCCCACCCTCACTTTTATATACAGAAAACCAGGTGGGCCACTGAGTATTTACAGCCGGGGGTGGGGCTTGAAAAGAAAAAGGTTGAGAACCCAGGGGCTACGTCTACATGGCAGGCTTCTTGTGCAAAACTTTTCGCGAAAGAGATCCTCTGCAAAATGTTCTTGAGCAAGAGCGCGTCCACACTGCCATGGACACACTTGTGCAAGAAAGCTCTGAGCACCTGTGCTTCTTCTGATAGGGGCCATCCACACACGCCTTTTGGCGCAACAGCACTTGCGCACAAAGGCTTATTCCTCATAAAACAGGAATAACTCTCGCACAAACAGCCCTATCTTCTGACAATCTACTGTACTTTTTCTTGTGCAAAAACGCACTTGAAGTGTGGATGCTCCACGAGTTTTTGCACAAAACCAGCCATTTTTGCACAAAAACTCTGCAGTGTAGACGTAGCCCAGATTAGAGCACAGGTGACTGATGGTACATGGAGGTAGAGGAACAAGAAGGTGTACAAACAGAAAGAGAGGAATCTATCAGAACTGATGACAGTGGTACAAAGGCACCTAGCTAGCAGCAAGTGTCAGAATGGTGCCCCATTAGTGTATGCCAAATGAAAGTGTCATTTGAAAAGCCTCTCTTGCTTTTATGGCTGTGAAGATATATAAATATCTCTTGAATATAACTCACTGCTGTGCTGTTCTAGCCTATCTAACTCCTCATATTTCCTCCTAATTCACCAATCTCCAGCTCCTTAATTAATGTCAATGTTCTTCTCATTCTTGCCAATTAATCTGCTAGAGGATTACTAATAAAAATCACTCACAGTATAGTATAAATCACTACCCTTTTACTGATGATGGCAGCTACATAGACACAACCCCTTTCTGTGAAAGGCAGGGACAAACATACAACCCCACTGAAGGTACAACTCTAACTCCCACTCAGAGCTACTCAAAGCAAAACCACCTGTCAGCTGAACTGTCCAACATACACTATCAGGCATGAAGCAACTTATGACAACCTACCCTCCCGTTTCTACAGTCAGAGACCTCTGAGGGCAAGAGCTTAGCAGGATTCAAAAAAGGACTGGACATTTATGTGGAGATGGAGAATAGCTCATGTTGCAGTAATTCAGTTTTAAAGAAACTTTCCATGTTTGGGACATAGCAACCAGATTACCCCATAACTGACAGTGCAGGATTTCTTCTCCTGAAGCAGTCAGACAGAGGATATTGAACTGAACAGACCACTGGCATTATCCAGTAAGTCCATTTTTATGTTTAATTGGATGAAGAAACTTTAATGACAGGTTTATTTCATGAGGAATCCTGTCAGAGAGGGCAAGGAGTTGCATTCATATTGATTTCTTTTAACTTAGTAATAAAGTGAAGAAGTAAGGCTAATGGTTACAATCAGGCATGCCTAGGCCATAAAGTCAGCAAAATGCATCTCTGCTGAAACAGGCGTAAATAAAAGCAACTGAAACTGAACAGTATGTTTTAAGAACATTTGATCACAGAATGGAAAAATCAGAAATGTAACAGTTTAGTATCAGCTTTACACAATCCTACCCCCTCTACCGGCACTTCAAGTACTCTTTTAGTGGGCTGGCCGACAGGCTCTCTCTGTCTCAAATCATGATGTTTCCAGCATCAACTCCTACTGCAGTAGTTGCCAGGATCCGGGTCGAGCCAGGATTGAGCCAGCCTGCCCATACACCGGCTCTTAAAGTGCTTCTAGTGCAGACTCCCAGCAGCAGAGGTAGTTGTCGAGACCTACCTTGAGTCAGGACTGAGTGCTTGCAATGCAAACCCTTATCAATTAATCAAAAATGTTTCTCACTACACTATTAATGAATTACATGCATCTTAACTTCTTTAATACATAGTAAGAGCCTATTGTTAAAAAAAGAGAACAAAAATGGAAGATTTATACAGCTGGTCAAGGACAGTTGTTCTCCAGCAGGTTGGAAGTGGCTTTATACTGTGTAATGAGGGGAATTAGAACAAGTTTAAAAGCACCAAAAATAGAAGCCACCATCTGAAAGGTCCACATCAGCTTCTCCAGGAAGAGGAACTAGATTAGACCACATGGATAGGAAAAACAACCTATCTTCTTCAGCACATTGCTCACGGGAAGCCAAAGAAGCCTAGAAAGGAGAAGACAGAGCTCCTGGACTGGCCACCTGGGAGTCCTCGGGGTGACTCCTCAGTGTTTATCTTAGATAGGCATCTTTAGCTGTCTCCTTAAGGACAATTCAAGTTGCCTGCAAGGGCATTGGAAAGAGACTACAATCCTGTCTGTCCTTCACTGCCCCTACCTTGGCAGCATTAATTACTGCTGTGAATAAGCAATGGGCTGGGAGCTGAGTAAAGATCTGGTGAGAAACAACACAAGCTTTCTCTTGGGTGACTACCCAAATCAGTCAACGAGCAAGTCTTGAAACAAAGCACAATGCTTGTGTATATGTTCTGTAGACTGGCAGAGTTAGCATGTGTTTCTTTGTTTTGGAACAGGTACCCATTAAGGAATGTTGTAAAGTAGCTTTAAAACTGAAAAAAGTTATGCTACTAAGATTGCAAAACTGTACAGGTGTCCGCTTTTCAAATCTAGGTGTATGTAGACATAAAACATGACCAAACATTCTAACTGCTGGTACAGCTCTCAGTCTATGTAGTCTGTCATAATGTAAGATAGTGATAGAAATGTAGCCGTGTTAGTCTGGTGTAAGAGTTATTTTAGGTAGTTAGTGTTTATCTGATCCTGAGGCTAATATCATTCACTGAGAAGTAAGCAACAAGGGCTGACTAGGACAAATCTATCAGAAAAGAGACCTTGGCGAACTGGGACATAAATAACTGACCAAAGTGTCTTGTGATCTAGCCTTCGTTTGTTTTTCCTTTGTTGTGCTATCAACATGAGAGTTGATAACTTATTGGCAAGTGAGGTCACGTTATGAGGGACTGAGTCAAAAATCTAAAAGTCACATTCCCAAGACAATAACTGAATATAAGCATTATTCTCTATTGTCGGTATGAAATTTGATTCTAAAAACCTAAATAGTTGTATCCTCCAATGTTCTAATTTATGTAATCAAATCATAGCCCAAAACCATTTTAGCCTTCTATCCTAAACTATTAGTTGCTATTGTTAAGGATATTTAATAAACTCTTTAAAACTACTTTCAAGTCATTTTTCTTTGGTTAAGCAATCAAAATTAAAAGAACACCAAAAATCATGGTAGAAGGAATGAGTTAAGCAGTAGCTTAACAGAAGGTTTGCTTTATACTCTGTGTCTTACAACAATGCTGACAGGCTATTTGCAACCACTCACTGGTTGTAAACAGGGATTAAACAGGGATATGAAAAGTTCAGAAGGACCATGTATCTTGATCCCCTTTTGGAGCAGTGTGGACAAACACCCAATATCTTGGAGTTTTTCCCAGTTCAATCTCCCCGCTTTGGAGTACCCAGCATTTCTACAGAATGAGAGCATTTTTAAACAATATTTCCAAATGAATGCAAGGTTGCATCTCCATATATTCTCAGAGATGGTTAGTGAAACACCCAGATGACCTGTTTTATCTCAGTGTGATGCTGCCCGTTCAAGCCAACTAGCTGGAGAAATCCGAGGCTATTTACGCTTGCTTGTCACCACAACAGATGAACAAGGGATCTCAGTACATCTGACAAAGACTCGTTCTATTTTACTTTTCTAGTTCAACTGGTTGAAAGACTGTTAACAAGGCTCAAGGTTTGGCTGTGAACATGCTTCAGGGAATGGAAGGATAGAGGGAGATGAGGCAGCAAAGTAATGGGAGCCCTAACCATAACCTTCTCATTGTTTCTGTCATATAAAGAATGATTTACATTCCTCCCTTGAGGGGAGTGTAACAGGAGATTCCAAGTGTCACCAAAGCCAACAGCACTGCTTATTATCTTAGGAAGATGTTTTCCGGTAACCTCAAGCCCATCCCTGGGCTTACGGGGAGTTTTGCTGGAACAGCCTTGCTGTAAATCACTCCTGCCCTGTCACAGCTGTGCTGTGCAGTGCTCCAGGTGAGAAGCAGAAATGAATAACCAAGCCTCCTGGTACCATTACATAATTCAAGGGACTACAAACAGAATGATTCTTTCTAAGCCAGCAGCCAATGAGGTGGACTATCCCCACAGCTTACTTAGAGGGAAAAGATAAAAAATCAGAAATATAGCATGAGGAAATGTAGCCATAACTAAGGGAAGAGCAAACTGGTAGCCCAAATTCCAATATGAGCAACAGCCATGAAAATCCAGAATAACTCTACCCTTTATGGATCTGCACCAATGTAACCAGCCTAAGAACCTACCAGCATGTCTAATGATGACTGCAGGCAGGGAGCTGGAAAGTAAGAATTTCAGAGTTATAGGCCTGGCTCTCTCACCAAACGTGCTCTGTGGTCTTGAGCAAGTCATTTCACCTCTCTGCACCTTAGTTCAACTACCTATATTATTGCAGCAGAGGTGTGGCAATGCTGACCTTAGATCAGCGGTCCTCAAAGTGTGGTCCATGGACCATTTTGCAGGTGGGCCGCAAGCTTAGGGCTTGTCTCCCCCAACATGCCTGGAGGCTTTCCCCATTGCCCCAGTCACAGTCAATGGGAACAGGTGGGGGCATGTACCCAGGTAAGTGTCTCCCATCTCCCTCCTGCCCAGACCCTGCATTCCTATCCCCCTCGTGCACTCCTCCCCCCACAACCCCAAACACCCCTCCCTCCTTGCTCCTGCACCCAACCTCACAGAGCTATAGTTAGGACAAAGTGTGTTATTATTTAGACACAGCTGGAGTGTATCCCTCAAGATGGCTCTGACCATCTTGGCTAACAGCCTCCATGAACGTATCCAATTCTTTTTGAACCCAGTTATTCTTTTGGTGTGCATAATAAACCATGGCAACAAGCTCAAAAGGTTGTCTGCAGCAGGTGAAATAGTGCAGCCAACCTCCCTGTAGTCCAGTCCCCAGGGCTGCCCACCTAGAGGGGGCATGGGGCAACCCTCGCACACCAGGCCTAGGGTCTGGGCAATCCCCTTTCCCACAGGCCTGCCCTACCTCTTCTCACTCCTGCTATGCTCCCTTCCCACTTCCACTGCTCCCCTTCCCCAAAGCTCCCTCTCCCGAGACCCGAGCCAGGGGTTTAACAGAGGGCCTGGCTCAGGGTGGCAGCAGGGGTCAGACCCCCTGCACTCATCCTGATGGCGGGAGCTGCAGGAAAAGGAGCAACCCAGCAGCCTGCTCCACCCCGCCGCCCATCTCCTAGCTGGGTCGCTCCGCTTCACTGTAGCAATGGGAAGTGGAGTGCACTGGCCCCGCCCGCTTCCCTCAGCTGCCCCGAGGGCTGCAGTGTTTGGAGGAGCAAAGCGGGCGAGGACCAGGGCACTTCCTGCATGCTAAACTCAGTAACCAGCCTGTCCAAAGGACGGCTGACGCAGGCAGGCAGGGATGGGAGGACGGGGGGTGGTCCCACGGCTGGAGCGGCTTGGGTGAGCTGGCAGGGTTCCAGTCCTGGTCAGAGCGGTGAACCCCAGCCCCAGCTGTGCTGGAGCAGCCCAGGTGGGACTCCAGCCCTGGCTGCACTGGGCTGGCAGGGGAGCCTTGGCTGCTCTGAGTTGGCCTGGGCGGGCAACAGGACCCCTGTTCCTGGCTGCTGTCCATTGGTTAACCAGTAACATTACAATCGTTTAACCAGTTAACAGTTTTCTTGGCTAGTTACATCCCTAACTTCCTTATGTTTGGTTTAAGACAGCTTCCTATTAATTTCATTGAGTGTTATGCGAAGGAGCAATGCGTCACTTTCTCCTTATCATTCATAATTCTACCGTGTCACCCCCCTTACTCATCTCTTTTCTAAAATGAACAGTCCTAATCTTTCTAATCTCTCCTCATGTGCAAGATGTTCCATTCCCTAATCATTTTCCTTGTCTCTCTCAGCACCTTTTCCAATCAAACAGAACTTTTCTGAGACAAGTTACATGAAGTGAAAGCCTGGAAAAATACTTCTGAAATATTGACCCAGTTTTTTGTGAAAGTCACCTCTTGAAACAGCTTTGTTTGGGATTATGTCTAAGGATATTGTGCGGTCACTTTATATAGCATTAGCTAGACCAATTTTGACGCAGTGTCCAGTTTAGGACTTTTTAAAAGAAGAAAGATGTGGCTTAGCTGCAGAAATCACAGCAGTTAAACAGAAAAATGAAATAAATCAAAGACATTTATTCTTATTCTTGGGAATAGCTGGCCCTCTTATGAATGGAGGATACATGGGAGAAAAAAACCCAGAAGACATATTTTTGCTCAGTATATTTTCTTCCTACATGTGCCCAGTGGAGACTAGGTATGCACATTTCCTTTCGGAGACTTCTTTGTTCTCCTGTGACCCTAAGAGTTACAAGTTAAAGGGTTTTTTGAAGTAACAAAACATGAGGCAGCTTTCACAGAACATTCCCATATCAAAGGCATCAACACCACAACAATAGTATCTGAGAATTCACAATCTTTAGCAGAGTAACTTATGAGGGGAAACTGATGCACAGATAGGCTAAGTGAATTGCCCAAGGTCACACAAAAAATCTGTTGCAGATCAGACAAACCCAGGTCTCAGGCTAGGGCTTTAGCCATTACTGGACTATTGAGGAGAAATTATATCAACAGTGTGACACAGTTAATTGGGCTCTATGTGAACAGACAGCATGGTACATATTACCGTTTTCTTAACAAAAGCTGGCATTTGTGCTGATCAGTAGGAATCATTACTTGGAAGTTGGCTGGCCCTCCATGCATTCTTCTCATTAGTATTTCATTAGCTTTAGTCCTGCAGACTCTCTAGGCAGTCAAGGTACCTAGGGGGCTGTGCATGAGAGAATTCTATCTAATACTAATTGATAGCTGTCTGCCTTTTGGGTAGACATGACTAACTCTGCTATGAACTTTGTTTGCCTTCAAAAATTCCTGCAAAAAAGTAGACCAAACAACAGATCCCTCCAAATTGTACGTCTCGTTCCCAACATGACAGCCTAGGTGAAGAATTAATATAGTTTATGTAAATTGTTAAGACTGACTACCTTCTGTGACCCAAGACAGCAATGCCAGAGTACAGATTCCCTGATTTCCACAGCAAATGCCTGAATCCAAGGCTGAAATCCAAGAGGGCATTTGAATGTCAGCAAGCTAAACAGGATGACCTCTGATGGCCTCTGATGAAAACGTCAATGTTCTATACTTAGATCACAACTCATACACAGAAGTCCTAAGATGAAGAATAACAAATCACCACACTTTTGGAACCACCATATAGAATTTAACTATAATACTACAGGTTGTACCCCCCCCTGAAAAGGGTCCCCAAATCACGTGAAAGTAGCTTGTGCCAAAGGTTGAAGAACTTTAAAAAAAAAATTGTTTTTAACAAAGTATGTAAGAATGTGAAAGACTGGCAATTTCCTGCAATATATGTGGGAGAGCTTATTGAATTAAGGCAATGTAACTGAAGTTGTTATATCATAAGCACAAAATTCAAGTTTTATTGTGAGATTGTATGCAACTTCTCTAGGGGAAGATGCGACCCAGTGTAAATCCTAGAAAGTGATATGAGCATCAAAGGACTACAGTATCTTAAACAACAGACAAGGAGACATGTTTGGATCAAAGTTGAGTAGGTTTCCTAGGAAAAACCTAGGATAAAGTGAATGCAAATTCCCATGTCTGGACCTAACCTTTTGAAGCTATGCCCCATGGGAAAACCCACTGGCTGCTGATTACCTATTTCTGGAATCTGAAGATCAAATCCTGCACTGCATAAAGAAGGGGTTCACAGATTCAGGGGTGTGATTGTTCTGAACTGAAGATACTATGAATTTGTGACTACCGAAAACCCCTGTCTGTGGGGGGAGAAGGGTGGATCACCTGCCAGCACCCTTCTGGAATTGGGATGTTCTCTGGCAAGCTTATTAGCATGCAAGTAAGGAGAAATACCAGTGCAGTTGCCCTAAATTGTGACAAGGAGGGGTAGCGCTATCTAGCCATTCCAAACATGAAGGAACCATGGCTGGCTTCTACTGCTATGCTACTATGTATCAACAGCTGAGGTGGAGAGCAGGTGAGAAGAGACTTCCCATTCTAGGAGAGATCCTTCAGAGAGAGAGAGATCATAGACCTCGGGAGGTCATCGAGTCCAGTCCCCTGACTAAAGCAGGACCAATCCCAACTACATCAACCCAGACAGGGCTTTGTCAAGCCGAAACTTAAAAACCCCTAGGGATGGAGATTCCTCCACCTCCCTAGATAACCCAGTCCAGTGCTTCACCACCCTCCTAATAAAATAGTTTTTCCTAATATCCAGCCTAGACACATACCCTGCCCGCACTGTAACTTGAGACCATTGCTCCTTGTTCTGCCATCTGTCACTACTGAGAACAGCTTCTCTCCATCCTCTTTGGAACCTCCCTTCAGGAAGTTGAAGGCTGCTCTCAAATCCCCCCTCACTCTTCTCTTCTGTAGACTAAATAAACTGAAATCCCTCAGCTTCTCCTTGTAGGTCATGTGCTTCGGTCCCATAATCATTCTGTCAAGGAGAATGATTATGCGACAAGGAGTCCTGTGGCACCTTATAGACTAACAGATGTACTGGAGCATAAGCTTTTGTGGGCAAAGATCATCTGACAAGGTGGGTCTTTGCCCATGAAAGCTTATGCTCCAATATATCTGTTAGTCTATAAGGTGCCACAGGACTCCTTGTCGCATAATCATTCTGGTTGCCCTCCGCTGGACCTAAAAACAAAACCATCAAGGGACTTCAAGGAAGTGGCAGATCAAAGAAATGAAAACTCCATTTGACACTGAAAGCCTGGAGATAAACTAGAGTTAGGTTTACTTCACTGATGGTAGCTCAGTTCTACCATTTGTTTTTCTGGGGCAGGGAATGAAAAAATGGACAAGTGGACTATTAGGAAACAGGTGAGACTGTAAGACTACAGTATACTATGGTAATAAGAACCTCAAATATCCAAGCCAGATTTATTTAAAAATGAGCAAATCTAAAGCCACTAGGAAAAAAAACTTTGATGTCCATTTCATCACAGAAACCGTGCAAAACCAAAATCTATCCCTTTCCCAAACCAAGGAGCTGGCTGTTTGTTATCACTTTGCAATGTAGATTAACTCTCTCCCTAGAGTCACATTTGTAACCTGGCCCATTCTCCTCTGGTCTAACATCAACAAGGATGCAACCTGTACCTTTTTTCTTTTCTTTGAAGAATTCTCAGCGTGGCTTGATTTTTTATCATGTTCATATTTGGCTGCTTTCTCTTCCTCCTCCTCCTCCGGTATCAGAGTGTACTTGGTTCCCCCAGGCTGCATAAAACACTCTTTGGCAAAATGACCTGCAAAATGACATTTGAAATAGAAAAGAACAGGGTTATGTCTTTTGAGGAACACAATGAAGATTCTACCTGGAGCCCATTTCCATAGTAACTTATTCAGACCATTGGTGTTAAAATAGCCTTAGAAGTGATAGAATGCCTGTTTAATAGCAAGTCAGCATTGTGCTGCTCCCCTCCTCTGCACTTTTATTCCTCTCCTCAGCCTCTGACTGGTTTAGACAAAGCTCTCCAGTCATGTGCATGGACATCTGGCTCTAGCATAATGGAGTGCTGATTTCATTTGGGATCTCTACATGCTTGCTCTTCACAGCTGGAGTCCTTTTGAAAATGACTAACATTAATGCCGATGAAAGTAATCCACTACATACTACAGAGCGACAGATGGAAGGTGCTGTCACCATATTATTAAAAATCCATCACTATTCAAACTCCACTCAGTGACTGTTGCCTCTTATTTGAGGCTGCCATCTTATTACATGGCTCAAAACATCTCAGCAGGAGGCACGAGTGAGAGAACTTAGGTCCCATGAAAGAGCAGAGTTTCAGGCAGATGACTCAGACAGGAGACTGGACTAGTTCTATCTTTAGCTCCGCCATTAGTTTACTATACAGCCTTGGGAAAAAGTCTCTTCACCTCTCCATGAAAAAAAAAAAAAAGCAGCAAACATCATTCTGGGATGCATTAACAGAGTGTTGTGAGCAAGACACTTCTTCCACTCTATTCTGCACTGATTAGGCCTCAGCTGGAGCATTGTCTCCAGTTCTGGGACCCACATTACAAGACCCAGAGAAAAGCAACAAGAATGACGAAAGGTCTAGAAAACATGACCTATGAGGGAAGACAAAGAACTGGGCTTGTTTAGTTTAGAGAGGAGAAAAGACAGAGAGGACATGATAGCAGTTTTCAAGTATCTAAAAGGGTGTTACAAGGAGGAGGGAGAAAACATTTTCTCCTTGACCTCTGAGGACAGGACAAGAAGCAATGGGCTTAAATTGCAGCAAGGGAGGTTTAAGTTGGACATTAGGAAAAACTACTTAGCTGTCAGGGTTGTTAAACACTGGAATAAGTTGCCTAGGGCGATTGTAGAATCTCCATTAGCAGAGATATTTAAGAGCAGGTTAGATAAACATTTATCAGGGTGCTTGGTCCTGCCGTGAGGGCAGCGGACTGGACTTGATGACTTCTTGAGGGCCCTTCCAGTGCTAGTATTCTTTGATTCGGTTTCCTCATTTGTAAAATGGGAATAACAATGCTCATCCATCTCTGAAAAGCACTGAGATAACTGGGCCAAGAGATTAATATTAAATATTTGAGAATGATTTTTAAAATATGCTTTGATTAATTTACATTAACTGTAATTAATCTTTGGGTTCTGCACTTTAAAATACTTGGAAACTGGGACCAGATGTCAGTCCTGATCTGCCTTGTAAGGCTAAAGATGGCAGTTTCTCATTTGTTTTATTGTATTTCAGACACTTAAAACTGTGTTTGAAGTTTGTTTTTTATTATTACTAGATGCAGAAGTGAGACTCTTCCATTACAGCATTTGTTTCCTTTAATGTTCAACTGATTTAATCTACACTGATTAACCAACCCCCAGGTACTGTATAGAACACAGGTCACTTAAAAGGGATTAAACAGACAAATCAGTCTATACTGGAGAGCTAACTATATTTAGCATCAGCAGAAACTGCTTTTAAATTTGTGCTTATTAAGCTTTCTTAACAGTTTAAAAGTCCAGCGTAGCCTTCGTCTACTGGTTACGCTATGTAATATACAAGAACAAGTAGGGCATGGTACAAATTCCGCAGGCAAAATGTTTAATTAGGACAAAAGTTGCTTATGTATGTGAGCCATCAATAAAAGTTAAGTTAAGAAGCCAGTTAAGCTGAGATTCACTTACAACCTTCATATATAGGCTTGAGAGAATCTAATATTAATTTTGACAACTATTTAACTATTTAACATCCCTATCCACAGGTAGACATTTGTATCCATGCAGGGCTCTACCATCCCCTCCATAAACTTATCATACTGAGTCTTGATGCCAGTTAGTTTTTTGGGGCTCACTACTTCACTCATTTTCATGCCATATTTTAATTTCTCTCCCTATCTAGAAGTTTAATTACCATTGTGTGTTGATCTCTGTTTTTGGTGAACTCAACATTTACCAATAAAAAAATCGAATACTATAATTTCAAACTTGCCTGAGTGTTTGGGTAGCGATTCTAACACAGAACTACTCATAAGTATGCATCCAATTCCTAGTAGCTGATGAAACTAAGTAGTTCCACCGGGATTTCTTGAAGCAGAAAGGAGTTAGGATGAATTAAGGAAATAATTTTCTCTATAAGTGTAAAATTAGAACAGTATCCTTGCTATGAAGTGTAATTAACGTGCAAGATAAAAGTTTGGAATCTGTAGGAACTTGTTCTTTAGCTATATGAAGTTAAAAAGAGCGTGACTGTAAGAACCAAATCTCTAAGAATGAGCATTTCTAACTATTTCCCTCGCCTTAGTCAGAAAACCCAGTTGCCCTCTGAAGAGTTAGGTGCATTATGCCTGGAGACCTAGATTAAATCCTTTCAGTGAAAAACAGAAATGTGTAGCATGTTTTAAATGAAGATATCAACAGCCCAAACTGCAGAGTCACTACGGATACATCCATAATGTAGGTCAAGACAAAAAATGGAATAAGAATGGAAACAGCACAAATGTACCTTTGCAACCACATTTCTTGCAGACAGTGTTTAACACAGCTTCCAGAGTAATCTTCTGACTAGTGTAGTCTCTGAATGAACGTTTCTTCCGCTCATCCTGACTGTGGAAAGAAAAGAACTACTTTACTCTTCCAACCCGCATCATCTCTAATCCTATGCATTTACTTGGAAGCTCAGACCAAAGTTTTCAAACATGGCTGCCTACTTCTAAGTCCATAGTTAAAGCAAAATACAGGACTATGTAGCACTTTAAAGACTAACAAGATGGTTTATTAGATGATGAGCTTTCGTGGGCCAGACCCACTTCCTCAGATCAAATAGTGGAAGAAAATAGTCACAACCATATATACCAAAGGATACAATTAATAGTGGAAGAAAATAGTCACAACCATATATATGTGTGTGTCTGTATATATATGGTTGTGACTATTTTCTTCTACTATTTGATCTGAGGAAGTGGGTCTGTTGAATAATGTCTGTGATAATATTTACTTAACAGGTCTGCATAATTAGCAACTCAGAATTGCAGCATCAAGGAATGTAAACTTTGCAGCCAAATAAGTCCAATTTTTTTGCTATTGTGGTCAGAAGGTGTAGATCTGAAGTGATGCTATTTATTTTTCTGGTGGGCAGCTTCCACGACAAGTGAATTTGGCACTGGATGAGTAAAAAGGAACTCGGATCTTTTAGGTGAGATGTAGTATATTTTGTCCACTCTCTTGCATGTGGGAGTAGCTATGGCAGGTGTTTCCCATGTGGTTTTAGCCGGTTCCATAATTGTGGAGTTGATAGGTAGGGCTATTTTGGATGATGTCACAGATTGTAAAATATCTGTCAGTTCGTGATGGTTCTCAGTAACCTCCTGTATCGCTTAAAAGATCTTGGAAATGGGAGAAGTTGTCAGCAGTAGTCGGAGGGAGAGGCAAGATGGATTCATCAGGTGAGGAAGAGTCATTCTTGTGTGGAGACGTATTGGGAGATGGGTCATTGTGATTGTCATCTATAGCCTGTTGGCACGGAGGTGATGGTGATTGTAGGGGAGGAGAATGCTGGGGTACACTATGATGTTTCTTAGGATGTTGGTGTCTATTCTGGGAGTGTCATGGGTTCCAGTATTGCCAGTGCGGGTAAGGCTTTGGGGGTGGCATCCACAGGTTTCCGTACCAGGGTGGCATGTCCCTATGCTTTGTGTATGTTGGATGGGTTCTGGTGAAATAGATGGAATGGTCCAAGGGCGGGGGGAACAGAAAATTCTGTGGCGAGAATACAATGTCCACCTTCTTAACTGAGTCGCTTGAGAATCACTCTGGCGAGAGAGTTTGTTGCAGTGCCGGGATACCCCGGGAGTGGTTGGTGCTGAGGAAGGGTGAATTAAAAGTTGACGATATGATCAGGTGTCTATGCTGCATATATTGCCAAGCCAGTGTTGACGGTGCTGTGGTCGGCTGCACCAAAGTGATTTGCGGTGCCAGATGCACTGTCAGCACCGAGCACGCTGGCAATGTTATCTGTGTCGCGGCAGTGCCAGTGGTTTGCATGGAAGTCATATTTGGTTGCGATGCCAGTAAGGCATCCTCAGTGCTGGATGGTGCCACAAAGTGGGAGGCTGGCATCTTGAAGCTGGTGGTCTCAGTGCAGGTTTTTGAAGGCCCCACTCTTGTGGCAATTCAGGTGGTGCTGGAAACATCTGGTGCATAATAGGTACTAAGATGCGGAGCCGCAGCTGTTCTCGGCATCTAGCTGGTTAGTGAGCCCCTTTTCGGTGCCAGAGGATCCCGAGGCAACTAAGAAGCTCACTTTTTCATTGGCTTTTTGTCTTTACATGCCTGAGGGGTCTCAGAACCTTGCCCTGGATCAGAGGCAGGGAGTAATGATTTTTTGAGCAGTATGAACATAAGCTGCAGGTCTCCTTCTTGGCAAGCTCTTGATTTTAATTTCACACAATGGGGACACTTTTGCGAAATGTGTGCATCCCAGAGGCGACGGACACATTGTGCATGTCCATCAGACACCAGAATAGGATCAATGCAGTAGGAACAACGCTTAAATCCTGGTGAGCCAGGCATAACGCCAACTAAGAAGCTAACTAACGAGGGAGAAAAACCCAGAAGAAGGGACAAAACTTTTTTTGGGGGGGAAAAAGGGAATGATCAACTATTAACTACTAACTATAAACTAATTATCTGGGGGAAAACAATGATTAATAGGAGGAACGAGGTGAGGAACACGGCCGAGTTCCATCTCTGGCTGGAAATGGTAGAGAAGAAACTGAGTGGGGGAGGTGGAGGGGGAGGGGAGGAAGGACTCGTGCATGTGTGATGCCAGCACACTAGGAGTGCACAGCCCTAGGGACATTGCTCTGAAGACTCTGATCCTCAGCGCAGCGACAGTGCACTGACCTGATGTGGTGCACTCACAGGGACATCTCTCTCAAAGAACTGACGGCTCTGAATCTATCATTTTGGCACAGAGAGTGGTGTCGAGAAAGATTTTGTTGTTGTTGTTGGCTATTACTGGATAAAAAAATAAAATAAAATAACAAATGGGCATGAGGACATGCATTACATAGGCGTGGTTCCACAGACACTGTAATTCACAAGACTCAGATCTTATGCATATGGGATGCAGATACATCTAGGCTACGTCTAGACTGGCATGATTTTTCGCAAATGCTTTTAACGGAAAAGTTTTTCCATTAAAACCATTTGCGGAAATGAACGTCTAGATTGGCATGGATGCTTTTGCGTCCGTGCCAATCTTGACGCGGTTTTGTGCAAGAAAGCCCCAATCGCCATTTTCGCCATTGGGGCTTTTTTGCCCAAACAGTTTTTAGCTGCCTACACTGGCCCTCTTGCGCAAAAGCATTTGCGCAAGAGGGCTTTTTCCCAAGCGGGAGCAGCATAGTATTTGCGCAAGAACACTGACAATCTTACATGAGATCGTCAGTGTTCTTGCGCAAATTCAAGCGGCCAATGTAGACAGCTGGCAAGTTTTTCCGCAAACTTGCCAGTCTAGACGCAGCGCTAGAGTGGGAGCCAAAGAAGAATCAGAGGTTAACAGAATATATATAAAAGCCAAATTATGAATTCTCCAATGACTCCAATAAAGCTACTAGATTCTCTGTCACATTTCTACTCTGAACAGACAGAAGTGACATCATTATCAGTATGGAGCTTCACACACCTATAGGGACAGGTATTGTGATGTTTGAGCTGCTGTTTGTCATCACACTTACATTACTCCCTGCTAATGGGGTCACTGTACCATTATAGTAAGTGTCAGCTCCTCCAATTTCTCATCCATGTGTCACATGCAGCCTACCCAACTTCAGATCTGCCTGTTTATTTATTTATTTATTTGCCTGTTCACATATACAAATTATGTCTATTTTCAATATGGTTCTTGATGGTTAAAAGAAATATATATACTAAGGGAGGCTTAAAGTAATCAATTGTATCTTCATTTTCTATGAATTTTGGGAAATTTAAATTCGTGGAGCTGCACTACTAATTACCTTCATGTGCATATGCAAATCATGCCATTTTTAATAACTTATTAATGTATTTAATATCTGACATTTATAGCCATGAAGTTTCCAGGGACAGTAACCTTATAGTTTGAGGTGATTAAAAGTAAATATAAATAAAGTCATATGCTTTAATTTGGGTATGCAAATGACCCCAGGTCAAAAGTTATTGGACAGCTAAATGAAATATTCCTTTTTCATATAGCTGTGAGCTACTTTTTTAAAACTTGAGTTTCTGTGGAAAAGTACAACAACATGGAAAATATATGAAGGCAAATTATTCTTAATTTTCAGGATGTGTTAATAATACTTCTAATTAAATCTGGGTAAATGATGACTTCAAGCTTTACTGTAATCAAGCTTCAGGGTTCCTGAGAAATAAGATATAGAGGATATCTAGCATTAAATAGTATCAGAGATGTGTTATCCATCTCCACAAGAAACAGCTGCTAGTTCTGGTCCTGACTACCAAAGCATGTGTAAATTCACATGTGATTATATTCTTTGATTTCTGTTTGATTTCTGTGGAAATAGGTATATGAAGAAGGTCCCATTAACCTCACATTTAATGTCTTTTTATTATGACTGCTATCAAATGCCAGGCCTTCCAAAATGACAGGTATTAAGGTGCTAGTCCATAGACAGGGAGAGTTTGTTGCTTCGAGGAGGCCTGGCAATTTGGAACTAATTACTAGAGTGAGTACTGACCTGTGCCCCAATGCTAGAAACCAGGGGTCCCAGCATGGCTTCCTGGTAAGACTTGTCATGCAGGACTATGTAGCACTTTAAAGACTAACAAGATGGTTTATTAGATGATGAGCTTTTGTGGGCCAGACCCACTTCCTCAGATCAAATAGTGGAAGAAAATAGTCACAACCATATATACCAAAGGATACAATTAAAAAAAATGAACACATATGAAAAGGACAAATCACACTTCAGAACAGAAGGGGGATGTGGGGGGCGGGGGAGGGGGAAGGAAGGTAAGTGTCTGTGAGTTAATGTTAATTTGATCTGAGGAAGTGGGTCTGGCCCACGAAAGCTCATCATCTAATAAACCATCTTGTTAGTCTTTAAAGTGCTACATAGTCCTGCATTTTGCTTCAGCTACACCAGACTAACACGGCTACATTTCTATTACTGTCCATAATTAGGCATGGAAAGTAACTAAGTTGCAGAATCCAGCTGACTACTTACTGGGGGAAGCCACAAACAGCGTATTACGCTTGTGTCCCTGGGAACGCAGGTGTGGTGCCTGTCCCTGACTCTACCATAAACAGAAACCAGACAGTAAATGGGCTAGCTGACGACTGGGAGGCCTCCCGTCGCCGTGATGGCTAGTATCAGTAATTGACACGCCTGCACTGTCTCGGGAGAGGAATCTTCGCCCATCACATACCAGAGGTGCCCATTGTCTGCATCTTCCCAGGTGTGAATTATGCTTTGCACCCTTCGTGGGAAACTTGGCATTCAAAGCCATTTTTCCTAATTGGCCACTTGAGACCAGGAAGAAGCCCATGTGACCCAAGGGGTACAAAGAGGGTTGAGTTGCCCGCCCATATACCTGCTGGCAGGTATTGATTGTCTCCCGAGGTCCGTGGGACGCCCAACCTCGCCCTACTTCTTCCCGAGGGATTGAGAGAAAGACGCTGGCCACGCCAAGTCTGGAACGCAGGGGTGAGAATTGTACCTGCAATGTGTTTTCTTTATGTGTACACTCTAATTGTCTCTCTGTTGTAAGTTAGTTACTTTATTATAGTTTTCTTAAAGTCAAACTGCTTCATTTCTATTGTAAATCACCTTTGGTAAGGTGATTTTGCTATAAACTTTGGGAACAAGTGGGGTGCCCTCATTCACTTATAAAATATATATATCTATATACACTGAACCAAGTTTCTTTATTTCTTTTCTCTTTCTTTCTCCTATAAATAAGCCAGTGCGTGTCAAGCTTCTGACTTGAACCCGTGCTCCGAACCGAACACAAACAAAAGAACTTCAGCCGGTCATAAAGGGACAGATATAGGGAGAGCTTGGGCGTTTGAATTTGTGTCACACCCAGGTGGCACCTATAAATAAGCCAGTGCGTGTCAAGCTTCTGACTTGAACCCGTGCTGCTGTACCCTAACCGAACACAAACAAAAGAACTTCAGCCAGTCATAAAGGGACAGTTATAGGAAGAGCTTGGGCGTTTGGATCTGTGTCACTCCCAGGTGACAGGGTCCACTGGGGCACTTCTCAGCCTTTCCTGGGCTGCCCGCTGCGAAGGAATTATGAATTCTAGCAGCTAAAATCTGAAGTGTAATAAGCTCTTCCTGTACACACTGGGGCGTCTGTTAGCCTGTTTGGCTACCCTCTGCGATGGGACCTCGGTCCTAGTAGTAAAGTCACGGACGTTAAACTATTTTTCGGGGCACCCTCCAGCCTCCTAGGCTGCCCGCTGCAACGAGACTTTGTGTCTCAGCAGTTGAAGACTTGGGTGTAACACACACGCACACACTGCCCTGACCGTCGGCTGACAGCTTGTTCCCTAATTTGTTTCTTGGTACAAGAGGACTCATCTGAGAGTCAGATTCACAGAATACAGACACACATACAGCCAAAGTATAAGTCTATTACACTGATATCTAACTCTTAGCTGCCTTGCTTAACACGAATATATAGTTACACATATACATAATGTACACAAACATGTGCCTGGGATAATAAATGGCATCGCAATAAAAGGCAGGCAATGAGATTTTGCGCCTGGTATGTTAGGGATTTGGATAATTTTGTGGGGCTATAAGCTTAAAGGAAATAAATACACCCTCAGCAGAGAAAGATCTCCGTGGAGAAGTCATTATGAACAGCAGGTTTTGTTAGCATGCTAAAATTTGATATTCAAATGCAGTCCTTTGCGGACAGTGCTGCAGAGGGAATATTTTAAGATTATTCTCCAGTAACCCCTACATTCACTTCAGAGCAGCACTAATGGGCTAGGAGGGAGCTACTGCCTCCTTCCTGGGAGGACTGAGACAGTTACTGTAATGGGAGGGCACAACAAAAGGAAGCAATAGTCCCCAGGCTGGTTTGCTGCACCCAACAGAGCAGATTTACCTACTCAAGGGCAACATTATTTGGATCAAGGTCCTTTCCTGTTCCTTGGTTGACGACCTTCATGGAAAGAGACAGCTTCAACTTGTCATCTTTCATCTGTAAGAGACGGACATTGAGGGATAATAGCAGAACCTGGTTAATTTCCACTATCTACAGGGAAGCCCACAAAGAACAAGTAAAGCTGTCAATTAGCACAGAAATGAATGCTCTAAAGTCAAGCATACAAAGTATTTGAATTTTGACAAGTTTATTTCAGTTTTATTTACATACCAGTGTTCTAGTTAATGGATCAGAGTAGATTACTTAAAAATAATTGTCTCAAAAATAAGATCATAAAAATTACCACATCAGATCATAGGCCCATCTACACGGTATCTGGTATTTAATAGTGGCCAGGACCAAATATTTTGTGGGGAGGGGCTATACAAGAAACTCCAAAAAGACAATTGTGGAATAACCTGATCACTAAGAAAATTTCTTTCTGGTCCTAGGCAGGCTCATGGCTGGTTTATCATAGAACACTAGAACTAGAGGGACCTCGAGAGGTCGTCAAGTCCAGTCTCCTGCCCTCTTGGCAAGATCAAGCACCGTCTAGATCATCCCTGATCAACATCTATCTAACCTGCTCTTAAATATTTCTAATGATAGAGATTCCAAGTTCCCAGGACTATACAGGTGAGGGGTGGATGTCTGTATATTCAGCAACAAAGCAGCAAAGGTGCTGGCTGCAGCAGATCTCCTGCAGAGGCTAAAAGTTCTGTACCTACAGCAAGAACAGGTCTTCACTTGCTCATCAGCAAAAGCATCATCAGTAATAGCTGTCCATCTTTCGTGGAGGGTAGTTTTCTTTTTGCAGTGAAACTTCTAAGTTTCTCTGCAAAAAGTGATTGGCAAGTATAGACACTCCCACAATTTTTCCCCAAAAGAGGACTTTTTCTACTTTAAATGGCTAAAAGTTCTGCATATATAGCAAGAACAGGTCTTCACTTCTCATCAGATCTGCTGCTGTGGTGCCAATGAACTGCACCATTTAGAGTCCTAAACCCTTGACTCTAAGGAAAGGCACATCCATCAAAGATAAGTGATGGCTGTGACCTTGAAGTCTTATATGGGTGTACTCCAGGAAGGCCAAGCAGGGATGGGGAGATTAAAGGTGCACCTAGACCTCACACAGACAGTCATCGCTGGTTGTAATGGGGCTAGGCCTTATGGCCAAGAGAGCCATAGGGAAGTATTCCAGGAGGCTAGAGTGGCTGTGGAGGAACCAGTCAACCAGGAGCCAGGAGGGACTATAAAAGAAGTTGCAGGACTAGAAGCAGCTCAGTCAGACTTGGCAGGGAGAAGGTCAAGGGAGCTGGCTGGCGGAACCAAGGACAGCTGAGAGTGAGGAGCTGTTTCGGACACTGTCTCCAGGAGGAGAAGCCCTGGAGGCACCACTCTTCTACTGAGTGGGGAAACAGTTGGAGAGAGACGCTACAGAGGGTACCAGTCTGGGCCTCTGTTAGAGGTGTACCCCGGAAGGGGTTGTGACTGCACACAAGGCTGTATAACTTGGCCAGAGGGATGCATAGCCACAAGTCTTTTTAAAGCTGAGGCAGTGCAGGAAGCCACACTTGGCCAAACGGTGGCGTTTATGTGACGTGAGTGCCAACCCCATTACACTAGTACTGATTATGATACTGGTTCATTGCTAGATGGAAATGGTAGAAGTATTAAAAATAATGCAGACAAGGTAAAAGCATTCAATAAACATTTCTGTTCTGTGTTTGGGGAAAAACATGGTGTAATCTCATATGATAATCTTTACATTCTGCTAGTCTCTCAGTATGATATCAAACAACAGATACTAAAATTAGTATGCTGACTAATTTTTTCTTATGACTTGTCTCAAGCTCTATTTGAATGTGCCAGAAACTGACATATTTTACACTGAAAACTTGTGATTTATTAAGCAAATATTTTCTGTAATTGATCAATTTAATAGTTTCTGTTCACTTCTAAAATTTAGAATACATTTCAATCTCACATTCATAAATTGGAATGGGAAAACAAGTTTACTGCCTTTGCAAGTGTCAACTGGCTTCTTATCTTTGAATGAACTAGTCATTGAACTGAACTAGCAGAACAAACTTAAATGAAAACAAAATAATTCTCCCTACACCTGCAACAAATGCTACTGCTTTCAAAAGCTGGTTTAATATTTAATCTGGTTTCAAGAGCCTGGCCAGTAACATACACCAACTGGTCTGACTTTCTTTAAAACTCAGCTGCAAACACAGGCTGCTTAACTTTTTCTAAGTGATTTTAATATTTATAAATTTAGGTATCCACCAATTTCAAATTTAATTTTGAGTATATTTAAATTTAAATGGATTTTTTAAACAAACATGAATTTCACCAGACCTTCTTTAGATACCACAAAGAAGAGAAGACTGACACAAGTCCCAAAGCTCTTTTTAAAGACTTGCAAAATAAAAATAAATATTTTAGCAGTATCCTTTCAAAGGAAAATCATTCCCTTAAATAGAATTAAGAAATGTCTCTGCTTTTGCTAAGAATGGGCTTAGAGTCATTTCCAATCGTGAGTTTACATTTATATAGCACCTTAACTTCCAATGAATTCTAAAGTACTTCACATGCTATATAACCACCACAGAAGACCCTGGAAAAATCATGGAAGGGATCCTCAAGGAAACCATTTTGAAGCACTTGGAAGAAGAGAAAGTGATCAGGAATAGTAAACATGGATTCACTAAGGGCAAGTCATGCCTGACCAATCTGATTAGCTTCTATGATGAGGTAACTGGCTCTGTGGACATGGGGAAGTCAGTGGATGTGATATATGTTGACTTAAATAGCAAAGCTTTTGATACGGTCTCCCACAATATTCTTGCCAGCAAGTTAAGGGAATGTGGATTGGATAAATGGACGGTAAGATGAATAGAAAACTGGCTAGAAGGCCGGGCCCAGCGGGTAGTGATCAACAGTTTGATGCCAGGTTGGTGGTTGGTTTTTAGCAAAGTGCCCCAAGGATCAGTTCTAGAACCGGTTTTGTTCAATATCTTTATTAATGACCTGGATGAGGGGATGGATTGCACCCTCAGCAAGTCTGCAGATGACACTAAGCTAGGGAGAGAAGTAGATACACTTAAGGGGAGAGATAGGGTCCAGAGTGACTTAGACAAATTGGAGAACTGGGCCACAAGAAATCTGATGAGGTTCAACAAGGACAAGTGTAGAGTCCTGCACTTGGGACGGAAGAATCCCAAGCATTGTTACAGGCTGGGGACTGAATAGCTAAGTAGTAATTCTGCAGAAAAGGACCTGGGGGTTACAGTGGATGAGAAGCTGTATATGAGTCAACAGTGTGTCCTTGTAGCCAAGAAGGCTAATGGCATATTAGGTTGCATTAAGAGGAGCATTGCCAGCAGATCCAGAGAAGTGATTATTCCCCTTTATTCGGCTCTGGGGAGGCCACATCTGGAGTAATGTGTTCAGTTCTGGGGCCCCCCCCACTACAAAAAGGATGTGGACGCACTGGAGAGGGTCCAGTGGAAAGCAACCAAAATGATTAGGGAGCTGGAGCATATGACCTACGAGGAGAGGCTGAGGGACTTGGGTCTGTTTAGTCTGCAGAAGCGAAGAGTGAGGGGGGATTTGATAGCAGCCTTCAACTTTCTGAAGGGAGGTTCCAAAGAGGCTGGAGAGAGGCTGTTCTCAGTGGTGACAGATGCAGAACAAGGAGCAATGGTCTCAAGTTGTGGTGGGAGAGGTCCAGGTTGGATATTAGGAAAAACTATTTCACTAGGAGAGTGGTGAAGCACGGGAATGGGTTACCTAGGGAAGTAGTGGAGTCTCCATCCCTAGAGGTGTTTAAGTCTCGGCTTGACAAAGCCCTGGCTGGGTTGATTTAGTTGGGATTGGTCCTGCCTAGAGCAGGGGGCTGGACTTGATGACCTTCTAAGGTCTCTTCCAGCTCTATGGTTCTATGATTTAGTTCAGCAGAAAAGGACCTGAGGTTTACAGTGGATGAGAAGCTGGATATGAGTCAACAGTGTACCCATGTAGCCAAGAGGGCCAATAGCATATTAGGGTGCATTAGGAGGAACATTTCCAGCAGATCTAGAGAAGTGATTATTCCTGTTTATTCGGCACTGGTGAGGCCACATCTGGAGTATTGTGTTCAGTTCTGGGCCCCCCACCACACAAAGGATGTGGACGCATTGGAGAGGGTCCAGTGGAGGGCAACCAAAGTGATTAGGGGGCTGGAGTACATGACCTACAAGGAGAGGCTGAGGGAGTTGGGTCTGTTTAGTCTGCAGAAGAGAAGAGTGAGGGGGGATTTGAGAGCAGCCTTCAACTTCCTGAAGAGAGGTTCCAAAGAGGATGGAGAGAGGCTGTTCTCAGTGGTGAGGGACAGCAGAACAAGGAGCAATGGTCTAAAGTTGCAGTGGGGGAGATCTAGGTTGGATATTAGGAAAAACTATTTCACTAGGACGGTGGTGAAGCACTGGGATGGGTTCCCTAGGGAGGGGGTGGAATCTCCATCCCTAGAGGTTTTTAAGTCTCGGCTTGACAAAGCCCTGGATGGGATGATTTAGTTGGGATTGGTCCTGCTTTGGGCAGGGGGCTGGACTTGATGACCTCCTGAGGTCTCTTCCAGCCTAGGATTCTATATTCTAAGTCATGCAGTTACCTACCGAGTGAGAAGCTAACCCACAAACAGTGGGATGAACAACTGTGCAGGGGGGAAGCAAAACTACATTTGATCACAGATGCATTCCTACTTTTACGAAGAATGCCACGTGATCTTTCAAGTCCATGCAAATCAGATGCCTAGGCATTGGTCCTCAAGTCCTCGTGTGGGAAGGAACATGACTAGCTTGCATTTACAACATCAGCATCATGCACTAGACCGGGATGGGCAATAATTTTTGATGGGGGGCAGCTCCAAGAATTTGGAAAGTGATCGAGGTCTGCACTCTTCCATGATATTCATGGAGAATGTGCAGGGTCTGGGATGGAGGATGGGTGCAGAAGGGAGCTTGGGTGAAGGAGAAAGGGAGGGAGTTTGGGTGAAGGAGAAAGTTGAAACCTGGGGCACTGGACTAGACTGGAGGGGGTTGGATTGTGAGCTTGGGCAAGGAATTGGAGTATAGGGGGGGGCAGAGGATTTGAGTATGTGGAGTAGGGGACAGGAGTGGGGGAAAAAGGTTGGGGAAGGGAGGGGTTGGGGTGCCAGAGGTAGGCTCTGCTGGGAGACTTACCAGCCAGCAGCAGTTCCTGAATCAGCCTCCCTGCCTGCCCCACCCCCTGCACAGGCTGCAGCCATGTGCTCAGGAGCCCCTTGTGCTTCATGGCTGCATGTTATTGAAACAGGCAGCTCCCACTGGTCAGTTTCTGGCCAATGGAATTGTGCTGGGGGTGGCAGCAGCTCCTAAAGCTTTGCCCTTCCCCTCTGGGCTCACAGTTTTTAAAGGAAACCAGCCCCACAGCCACGTTTATGAGTGGCGTCCAGGTGGGGCAAGACAAGTGGCTTCCCTGGGTGGATCTGGCCCCCGGGACGTAATTTGCCCAGGCCTGCACCAGACAAAGTGATTGAAACACTAAGCTTCTTTTAACATGAAAAGCATTAGCTTGCAGTAGTTGCAAATTTTTTCTTCATTTACACAGTGCTTTTTACACCAGAAACAATTTTACCTCTCTTCCAATAAGCTTCACCCATACTTTGTCTCCAACATCTACCATCTCAGATGGTTTGTCCACTCGGCAGGCTGACATGTGGCTTTTATGGACAAGGCCTAGAGGTTTTTATGGGAGGAAAAAAAATAAAATAAATTGGTCATAGTTGAAGATAACATTCTATCCTCAAGGAAATCAGAATGTCAGGTGAAGTAACTTAAAAAAACCAACCAATAGCACCTTACAGACTAACAAACAAGTAGATGATATCATGAGCTTTGTAGGCAAAACCCACTTCTTCAGATGAAATTAAATAGCTGGGTTCTTCAATCACCATTTCATGCAGAATAAAAATGAGAAGGTTTTTTAAAACCTCATTACATCAAATGCAGACACCTAAACCCACCAAAATCTGCTCAAATCTCATAATGAATCAGCTCTTGAAAAATGAGGACTAGGGATGTTAAATATATTTTAATCAACTAATCGACTAGTTGAGGGATTTTCCATTGATTAGTCAATAAGCAGGGGAACCCACAGTGGGGTTAGCGTTCCCGGGAACTAACCCCGCTACAGCTCTGCCTTTTAAATGCATTAATAGCAGGCAGGCTCTAAATAGATTTAAAAAGGTGAAGTGCAGCAGAGGGACCCAGCGCAAGCTGGGACAGCTGATTTCCGGCTTGCACTGGGTCTCCCCTGCTGAGTTTCTGATTTTTAAACATATTAAGAGCATGCAGGCTCTTAATACATTTAAAAGGCCGGCGTGCAGCGGGGTGGATCCATCATGAGTCGGGACAGCAGATTCCCAGTTCACGCTGGGTCCCCTTCACTGTGCTTCTGATTTTTAAATGTATTAAAAGCTGGAAGGCTCTTAATACATTTAAAAAGCAGAGTCACAGCATCTGGGAGTGAGCGCAAGTCGGGAATCAACGGATTCTCGGCTTGTGCCCAGTCCCCGCTACTCCCCTGCCCCCGTAGAGATGGTGCTGGGGGAACCGGCTTTTAAGGCAACAAGTGGGGGGGGGAGCAATAAAGTCGAGGAAATAGTGGACTAGTTGCTTACATCCCTAACGAGAACCTGACAGCTAATCACAGAACTGGTATAATGTACCCCACAGAGTTTGATCCTGCAAGTCTTTGCGCACACCAAGCTGCTTGCAAAACTAAGGTTTTCGTAAAACAAGAAGTTCTGTGCAGATCGGAGTCTTGCAGCCATATGGAGCTTACTGTGAGACTGGGTCAAAACTCTCTAAGGACTTCAGTGAACTGCAGATATCCACAAAAACTGCCGAATTAGATACCTACTATATGAAACCCAGTGTTAATTAATTCTGAACGTGAATCACTTCTGTGGGAAGGGAAAAATGGGATGCTGCAAATTATTTTCGTGGGCCAGACCCACTTCCTCAGATCAAATAGTGGAAGAAAGTAGTCACAACCATATATACCAAAGGATACAATTTAAAAAAATGAACAAATATGAAAAGGACAAAGCAACTCACAGAAATAACACTTTCACTGTTTGTTAGGATGCTAATTTAAACAGGCACAAACAAGTGTTCATTCCTGCCAATCCTGTGGACCTAACGCACTTAAGGGAAACCAAACGGGATGTTATTTAGCACAGACTAAACATTTGCCATGAGACTTTATAACCAAGATTAACTACTGAACCCATAGTGCCTTAGTACCACTGCAACTCAGAAACTGGAGAAAAAGATATTGAATACTTTTTCAGTTGGTGTACCTTGTGCATTTGGCAGGATTTCCTGCAAAATTCTAATTTCCCTTGCATTCACCTGTTAATACAAATCTTTCGCACAACTAATGGGAACAATCTGAAAAATAACCAGGAAAGCTTGGACTTAGTGCAAGTCAATGATTTGCCATTATGATTTTCCTTCCATCTATGAATTCCCATCCGTAACAGAAGTTAAACATGTCAGAACCAGAATTTGAAGGGAATTGCTGCAGTCCAGTCTAGTGTCTTACAATCACCTGGAAATGTATTTATTTTCATTTACAGAAAAAGTGTTATATGAGTATGTTCAGTATTAATGCAAGCATTTATATAGCCCTATTACCATATCTGGAATTCTTACGTGGCATAAATGGGACATTCAAGATCTAAGTAAGAAACCAAACCCCACACTGGGAAATTGGATTTAATCAACTGGGTAAAAGTAAACTGTAGACTCATGTTGCAGACTTTTCTAAGAAAATGCCAACAACTTCCACAAGGGTTAGATTGTATGATTTAAGCAAATCAGTATGAAACCCAGTCTGAAAATTTAGTCTGAGAAACAAACCTTGTTTCCTGCAGCCTGGAATTTTTATAAATGCCCCATATTCTGTTACAGCAGCAACCTGCAAAGAAAATCAATATTTCCATTGACAAAGAAAAACTTGTACATTACACCCATTTTCTGTCTTATTTTTTCATTCCCTTCAACCCATATTCTTTCCGTGCACTTTTTTGGTTTCAGCTGTTTCTAATTTGCCTCCTGAGTCTGCTTCATGTCACCAGCTTTTGACCTAAGGCGCTACATAACAATTATTGTTCCATCACACACACAAACAAAAGCACAGGATTATTATTTCCTGCCCTGCAAGAGTACAGACAAATCTTGAAAAATGGTATTTTTCAAAGAGCGTCTATTTGCTATATTTAGCAGCAGGAGTTAACATTTTACCATCTGAATACATTTAATGCTGAACTTACAGCCTCTGTGGAACAGACATTGGACAGGCAAGAAAAACATCCCCAAATCTGCAAACCAGCATGTCTCTGAAGGACCTCATCCTAGCACTAAGGTGGAGTTAACCCTTCCCTCCATGCTCAGATTACAGGCAACCCCCAAATTCGATGCGATCAGTTCCTGGGGAAGCGTCACAAGTCAGAGGCGTCGTAACTCGAACCCACATTTACAATAGGCGCCGTGCACGGTCGTAAATGCGGGCTAAGGACGTAAGTCAGGGGGTTTCAGCCCCTTCCACACTTACAAAAATGGTTGTAAGTGCGGGGGGTTGCAACTCGGGCAATCGTAACGTGGGGGTTTCCTGTAATCGTAGGCCTCTCTAATGAGACTGCCCACTAGAAGATGGGTCAGTGCCAACCGTGGCAGTGGTGGTTTTGAAATAGATACTGGTCCACTAGTATCTAGACTGAGACCCACCAACTAGTTTCACATAATTATAACAAACATCTGATGGTAAAACTTGCCCTCCCTAATAATTTTGCCACACTTACGCAAATAGACAAGTGAGTTTGCACAGAACTTCACTGAAGTTGATTAGGTGCTGCATGGATCCACCCGTGTAGAGCATTATTATGGAATCAGGGCCTAAGGCTGGATTTGAACCAATTGAAATTTGAGAGGCTCTTTAGCTCATTGCCAGTCCCGTGATATCTCTAATTCTAGTCTTTGTCCTCTCCCATTCTTGAAGTTAAACATACTACGTAAGGCTCTTTAGACGATAACAGAATATCACTTCCCTTTTTAATTACAAGAAAGGAACTAAGGGCACTGCGGATTTTTATGCTAAGTTCAAGCATGGAGTGAACCTAAAATATTGAAATTCAGAACTTCAAGTTGTGCCAGACTGAGCAACAAATTATCTTGATAGCAGCTATTCAAAACAGCTTCCTACTTTAAGAGCCAAAGTCTTTTGTATCTCACAGCATGAGGCAGAAGGAAAGCTTTATCCCCAAGCTCAACACAATGTGAAAATTAAAGCAATAAGTCTTTCAGATTCCCCTACACTTGGGTCGAAAATTAGACTTGGCTGAGAGAAATTATCAGCATGAATTTTCTGCAGACAGCTTTTCCCATCCTAAGAGTGGACTAGCATGTTTATGAACACACATTCTTAGCTAATCTTCTCAAAATTAGTAGATATTGCTTTTCAGAATGACATTAGCAATGTGACTATTTTGAAGTGGTTTTATTTTTAAGACATCTAATGAAATAACACCTGCAATAAAAGTCTCAGCCGGTTCTCAAAACATTAGTATTTACAAAAAAGCGTATTACATTTTTAATCTGAGATTGCCAGTAGAAGGCAGCAGCACTAGAGACTGAAGTCGACTTTACCTCCCTGTCAATGCGCATCAACTCTAGCATAAAGGAGTGAACAAAAATAATGAGCCCAGAAGCCAAGATCACGAGAATGGCTTTAAAAAAACCCATCACTCTGGCACTGCCCCTTTTGATGGCCCTCGGGTCTCATTTCCGTTTCTCTCTCTCTAACCTACATATTCTTTAAACGCTCTACCGAGAATGCCAACAGGAGGTCAGTGTGAGACAGCTGTGACAGTAGTGGGTTTTGTGATGTGGACATTTGCTCTCTATGAACCAGAGTACACAACACAAGCTCATTTTACATTGGTCACTTAGTTTTACTGCCTGTATCTAGGGTTGATTCTGAACTGAAGATTTAAAAATGAAAGGCTCTCTATTATCTCTCAGTATCTTGCACCATTCATGTCTCCCACGCTTCTTTTGTGACCCTAAGCAACACCACACATACCTCTCCTTGGAAGACATCATAGAGTTCAGGTAAAGTCTCCATTGCCTCAGGTCTCACAGACTTCATTTGGGAAGTTTTCTAAGAGTATGCATTCCACAATTCTTTCCCAACCTTTATAGCTTACTTTGTTTCCATGTATTAGATGTCCCATTTATTGCTGTGGAGCAACCCTATTCGTAGCTGAAATAAAGAAAGACACCATTTATTGAAAGAAATATCTTCATTAGTGATAAAAGAAATAAACTCTGGGAAAACTTTTCAGGGATGGTTTTTATCTGCACTGCTTTCACTCTCACTAATTTCTAAATATCTGATACCATAGGGTAAGTCTACACAGATGTGTTATTTCAGAATAAGTGATGTTATTTTGAAATAACCAAATACGCTTCTACACAGCAAGACATTATTTCGAAATAATAGCGAGCTGGAAGACTTCTCACTCTGACTCCTGTAACCCTCATTTCACAAGGGCTGTGTCTACACTGGCACCCTTTTCCGTAAAGGGGATGCTAATGAGACACTTTGGAATTGCAAATGCCGCAGGGGATTTAAATATCCCCCATGGCATTTGCATGAACATGGTTGCCGCTTTTTTCCGGCTCAGGGTTTTGCCGGAGAAAAGCGCCAGTCTAGACGGGATCTTGCGGAAGATAAACCCTTTTCCGCAAGATCCTGTCTAGACTGGCGCTTTTCTCCAGCAAAACCCCGAGCCGGAAAAAAGCGGCAGCCATGTTCATGCAAATGCCGTGGGGGATATTTAAATCCCCTGTGGCATTTGCAACTCCGAAGTGTCTCATTAGCATCCCTTTTACGGAAAAGGGTGCCAGTGTAGACACAGCCAAGGAGTAAAGGAAGTCAAAAGAAGAGAGTTCTTCCTTCGTCTACCTGCTGTGTAGACAGCGCCAAGAGACGAATTAAGCTATTTTGACTAGGGATGTAAGCGACTGACTACCTGATAAGCAAAAGCTTATCGGATAGTCAACACATTAGTCAACTAGTCACTCCTCCTCCCTCTCCCTCTCCCCTCGCTGCCGCTATCACAAAGAGGCAACAAAGGGTTGAAGAGGAAGGGCGCTGGGGGGAGCCAGCTTAAAAGTCAGTTCCCCCCAGCTCCAGCTCCATGGGATGGGGCGGGGCACAGCAGCAGTAGTGCTTTCTTTTTTAAATGTTCAAGAGTTCCAGTAGGGGCTCTTGTGGATTTCAGAGACTGAAATGCTGCATAGAGCCTGGGGTGGACTCCGAGTCCCCCACTGACCTCAGGCTCCATGAGATGCTTCCTCTTTACAATGCCCAAGAGCCCCCACTGGTGCTCTTGTACATTTCAAAGGTGGAATGTGCACTAGTCCTTATCAATTAAATCCCATCAACTATTCAATCAGTTAATCAATATTTAACATCCCTAATTTCAACTTCAGCTACACAATTGACATAGCTGAAGCTGCGTGGCTTAATTCGACTTTTGTGTAGATGTGTCCATAGTGTCTTGTGCTCACACTATACGTTATGGCAGTGTAATCAAGTGGATAGAGAACAAGTTGAGGAAACAGACAATCCGAGTTCTTCAATGATACAGTTCCCAATAACTTTCAGTACAATTATGAGCAAGTTACTAAACTTTATGCCTCAGTTTCTCCCTGGATAAAAGGGTGCTATGATATATTTCAAAGAGCTTTCTGCAGTAGGGTATGTCAGAAGAGTACCTCAAAAACACTAAGTATTCAAGTACCTAGGCAGATACAGCAAAATATGAACACGTGACTATAAACTGGCTCTGGATAATAACTAGCCAATTTTGCCCTATTCTCAGAATTCAGCCTCACAGACACTTCATTCCTATTTCACAGGGGTAGCCGATGGCCTCAGAGGGGTAGCTGCGTTAGCCTGTAACTTTAAACACAGTCAGTAACCCTAGTCTGTATTTGGGAAAATGAAGAGTCCTGTGGCCCCTTGTAGACTCCACGCAGCTGACCAAGTGGTTTTTACTCAGGAGAGGTTACGCCAAAATAAATCGGTGACTCTAACAGGAGTGTGGAACTTTGGGGGGGGGGGGGGGGGGGGGGGAGGCGCGACG